ATAGCAGCCTCCACAAGACCTCGTAGCAAGAGTTAACAAAACTAGAGAACATGATTTACGAGTGTTGGAATTGAGGAGGGAACGAGAGGGAAGAAGCCCTAGATTTTTCGTCTTCAATTCACCGCGAGAAAAGTTTTCGGCTGGGAAAATGGGTACGGGGAGGTGATAAAAGGGGAAGTTATTTCACCCCGTTTGGAAAGTGTAATAACGGGAAGGGAAGGGAAGGGAATGTATATAACTTGATATAAATACCCTCACATTTGTTTCTAAAATTTTAGCCGTTGGATTTTGATCTTACCTAGGGGTAAATATGTCTCTCTATATTTGTTGTATTCCCCCTCTTTACCTTCACCCCCATTACACCCCAAATTGGGGGGGAACAAATCATGGTATTTTCTCACCTCCTTTCACCTCCCCTCACCCCTATTAACTTGCTATATTTACTTCCCAAACAAGGTTAAAAGTTACCCTCCCTTCCCCTCGCCCTCATTACCCTCAATCCAAACATGGTCTTAGTGAAAACTTTTCTCTAAGGGCCTGTTTGGATTCGTAGGGGGTGAAGGGAAGTTAAGGAAAACTGAGTGAAGGGAAGGGAAGGGAAAGGAAGGGAAGGGAAGGGAATTCCCTTCCCCTTGGTTACACCCCAATTTGGGGGGTAACAATTTTTATACTATTAGGGGGTGAACCAAGGTGAATGGAGGTGAATTAACTTCACCTCCTAAGTGTTCCCAAACAAGGTGAATGGAGGTGAATGGTTCCCCTAACTTCCCTTCACCCTCATTCCCCTCAATCCAAACAAGCCCTAAATATTTTTTGAACCAAACACAGTTTATAGAAATGTACAGAAAATTTTTATTTACAAAAATGTCATTGTCAGGTCTTTTCTATAAACTTTTCTATAAAAATAGGCAACCAAACTCCCCGTTAAAATGAGGCTGTTCATCTTTTTAATTTGCTTCCTACGTCTGTGGCTTTTAACTTGCCGCATGTCTACTAGACTAGTATATTTGTCACTGTGCGCATACTGCCAGGATATGCTGAGTAAAGAAGGAAGAAATAGAAGCCACAAGCATTATCAGGGGTCACAGGACGAATAGGGCAGCAACTTGGAAAGAGATTCTTTTTTTTTTCATGGGTTGCTCAAAAGTGCAAAGGGAAGCAACAGTTGAGATGAAGTGAACCAGGTTAGATAGAATTAAGGTGGTGTCGTGGCTCAATGGAGAAAAAACAAGGCCTACTTCAGCTCTCTCAAAGATAAGTGAACAGGGGGCCTTGCGCGGTGGAAAATTCTTCCCGTAGTTCAAAACCTTGGTGTTAATCGTGAAAATGAAGATAGTTCCCTCTCCAAAATTTCTTCAGTCAATAACTGCTCTGTATGATGTGAACTGGCGAGTGAAAAGATGATAGAGCACTGTGTCAGGAAGTAGTGATAGAAAGCAGGGGAATATTTAGTACATGGTGCTTTACAAGTGTGGTGTGGTGCATCACCAAAGCTGGGGCCATTTTTCCAACTCCGAAAAGGAGCCCCCACTCAATTGTAATCCCTCAAACTAAACGAAGTGAACAACACGGCCCACCTCCTCCCACTCTACCAACCAATTCCAATTGCCATTCCCATTCTGGTCTGCTTCACTGTCCTCTTTATCTCCAAATGAATGTGTATATATTACCCTACTCCACTGACCTTATAGATTCATATGTAGCCATTGAGTGATAAAGCATTTGAGGGATCGTAATGAGATGAAGAAGGAGATCGCAACGATATGTTGTTTGGTTGGGATGGCAGTCGTCCAGCTCATCACCGCATCTGTTTGGAGATTGTCCACTGAGCCTGACAACATCATCGCCTTGTCCCCATTGCCGTCTTTGTGCAATGGGGGATCGAGCAGGAGCGACATAACAGCAAGATGCTTAGCAGAAGAAGATGGTGAAGAGATGATGATGGACTCAGAGGTTCATCGGAGGTTAATCTTGGAGGCCGATGGGAAGACGATCGGGTATGGTCCCCTGAATCGAGACCGGCCCATCTGCAACTCAGGACCGAGGTCATACGCCAACTGCTTGCCTCCCGCGTCCAATCCTCGCACTCGAGGCTGCAACCCCATTTATCACTGCAGGAATTAATGGATGATAGCTTGAAAGGGGGAAGACTGCTACTACATAAAGGCCTCTAATTTGTTCCGTACAGCAACGTATCCCTCCCTCCCGTCACGAAGATCAATCAAAAGTTTCTGCTTTATAATTAATTTTAGTGCTGCTTTCTTATTAGAATCTTGACTTTAAATGTGTAGTTGATGCTTCTATGTCCCCCAGTCCCTAAAATCCTACGCGTTATATGTTGCCCTTGATTTTGCGTACTTCAAATGCCCATTGCTACTTCGGCATTAAGAGTATAATAATTCTCCTATAGCAACCATAACTATTCAGATAGACTTTTGGAAGGACACTGAAAAGTATCAACATCTCGTTCGCCTTCGCACCAGCTGTTAAGAAGCTCGTTGATGATCCCGTTAAAGATGTTTAGATGCTCCAGTACCCTTCTCCTTCGCTTCACGCATTCTTCGTGTGGTTGTCTTGTTTCCTCGATTACAATTTCTTGGAAAGGCTTTTTCTTTTGTCGTGTAATCTTGTCACAAGCCTACCGCGGGTGTTGTCTCATCCACCACCCTATACAAAAATCTCATCTACAGCCGCTAACTTCGATCACAGTTCGTCTCCGATCCAAATCCAGCGACGAACAACTCCTATGCGCCTTTTACCGCTTCCTCCTGATCTCGTCCTGAGGTCTTTTCTCCATTACCGCTTGCTCGAGCTCGAGCATCATCGGTTTTCTTCCATCTTGGATATTGGAGGTGCGGTTGATTTAGGGGTTGTTGATTATTCGGTTCTCTGATTAAAGAATCGGTGCCCTACACATACCCATTTTCCCAGCCGAAAACTTCAATCGTGGTCAATTGAGGGCAAAAAAACCTAGGGGTTTTTCCCCTCTCGTTCGCGCCTCCAAATCTAGCGACAAACAACTCTTTCGTGTCTTATTAGTCTTCCTCCTCATCTCGTACTCAGATATTTTCGCCATTACCGATTGCTCGAGCTTGAGCTTCATCGGTTTTCTTCAATCTTGGTGATGTATGCGCAGATGATTTGGGGTTTTTTGATTATTTGGTTCTCTGGTTAAAGAATCGGTTTTTGACGATCTATTACTCTTCGAATTTCTCAAGTATTCGGTTCTGCGCCGATTTGAGGTAAAAACCATAAACCCAATTTAATTTCTGCAAATTTGTGGGTTAAAATTTGGCCGATTTTTTTTTTCAATTTCTTCAATTTGTTCAATAGTGCTCAGGCTAGTACATTTATTCAATTTTCTTTAATGAACTGTTTATGGTGCTCAATTTTTTTAATTTCTGCAAATTATTTCGAATTAAATAGAATGCTAAAATCTCACATCTCCATGCATCATTTTTATGATAGGCAAGACAATCTTTTATGATAAATCTATTTTTATCCTGAGCCCTAATGAGTATTCATAGGTGTTGTCGAGCTGTTGGGGCTTTTTTTTTTTGTTACTACGCTGATTGCGAGCTTGTTTAGCTCTATATTGTTGGGTTTTTTGTAGATATTCGTTCTCGTTGTCGAGCTGCTGGGGCTATTTTTTTTATTACTACGCTGATTACGAGCTTGTTTAGCTCTATATTGTTGGGATTTTCGTAGATATTCGTGCTCATTGTCTAGCTACTAGGGTTATTTTTTTTGTTACTACGTTGATTACGAGCTTGTTTAGCTCTATATTGTTGGGTTTTTGGTAGATATTCGTGCTCGTTGTCGAGCTGCTGGGGCTATTTTTTTGTTACTATGCTGATTTCGAGCTTGTTTAGATCTATATTGTTGGGTTTTTGGATACATGATTTCTACATGTAAATATCAAATTACGACATGAAATTGCCAAAGCGATACATGATTTATTTAGATCGTTGATTTCGATCTAACCAAAGTAAATAAACTTCTAGTCCACGATGTTGGTCAATTCCCGCTTTACCCATGTTGGGCACAGACTCATTGTTACCAAAATCGTGCGTGTGAGTTAAAAGATCATTCATATTCCAATTTGTGTAGGGGATATCGTTACAATAGGGACACTTCCACCATTCGTTTTGGTCTCTAACTTTCAAAGCATTGACTCTTAGCTTTATTTCTGCTTCTTCCATTATATCCCACATCTCATCATGCTCTCGATTTTCATCTGTATATAAAAACAATTCTTCATATGTTGGTTTTTGCGGCATTTTCTAAGCACGGTGATTACAAAAAAGAAAAACTAGACTCTGGTCATTGTGAAAATATTAATAGAATTTGTAGTTTTTTTAACCAAAATACATACATTTGGATTTGATGAACTTGACGAGTCACCAAGGTCTCTAACACTCTTACACATGTTTTTCAATTGTGGAAATTTTGTTCATGGATAGTTGAGGATAGAAGGATTTTATAAGATTTGAGAAAGTGAAACTAGTCGTTGAACTAGACGTTATAAAGTGATAAATATGGTAGTTAACACTTTTCTATAAATTTGGCATATGTAATCAAACAAAAGAAAAGGAAAATTTTGTTATTTCTATAAAGTAATGGGCCTATTTTCTTGTTTTGAACCAAACAAGCAAAGTACAAAAAATGGCAAAATGGCCAAATTGGTATATTTTGTAGAGGCTTGGTGACATGTTGGTATATTTTCTTTTAGTTTTGTCATATTGGTATATTTTGTCGACTCCAGCGTCATATAGGTTTTAAGTTTGGCCGGAGTTAATTTTCCGGCCATTATTCTCACGCGACAGCTCACGTGACTCCTACGTGGCCTTGACGTGGACTCCAGCGTGGCGATATTTAGCGAGAATAAGCGAGCGGTTTCTCTAGAAAATCGCAGAACATAAGTAATTCCATCTCGTTCTTTAATTCTCCTTTTTTTCCCCAAATTGCAGAAGATCCCCAAATTGCAGACGGTCAAAACTAATTATTGAATTGATCAAAATTAGAATTTGAAACTTATGTAATTAACTTCTTCTGGTTAACCCACGAAAATGGGATAGATTTATCATAAATCTAATTCAGTTAGCATAGGGTTAATTAAGATGAGACCGCAAAAAGAATCGATTGCTGAGCCGTATGAGGTAGGAAACTCTCAAGTACGGTTCTAAGGGAAGGAATTGACCCACCTATTCCAACCGGGGAGAACAGGCCATTCTGCAGGGTGATTCTGAAATTGCGGAGGCTTGGTCCGATCAAGCTGCTGAGTATTAGGGTCCCCAGAGTGTGACGTGACGATCCCCAAGTTGCAGACGATCCCCAGAGCGTGATGTGACGACCCCCAAGTTGCAGACGATGCAAGTTCAAGGCTTCCATCTACTTCATCGTCTTTGGCGCGGAGTAAAAGGTGAGTAGAAATTTCATATTTTTGAAACTAATTAGGGTATATTTGATGGGTTTATAGTGTAAATTAGGGTTTTTATTGTGATATTGCAGATAGGTCTCCAAATCTTGGTTAAAATCAGACATGGAGGAAGTTTCCCGACAGGCTGGGTTGAAGATTATGTTGGTGGTGGATTTGATGTTAGGTTTATAGACAAAGAGGATCTGAGCATAGAAAGATTGATACATGAAATTAGTGCAATTGGGTATAACAATGTCAACGGCTTGTTGTACTGTGTTCCTGGTGCAAGGGTTGCAAATGGTGGATTGAGGTCTCTAAATGATGAAGGTTCCTTAATTGAAATGCTAGAACATGCAGAAAGGGTGAAGGCAATTGAAATTTATGTTGATCATGCCATTGATGAACCTACAGAAGTTATTATAGAAGATTATGATGTGTTGTTGTTGGAAGATGTGAGTCAACCAATTTCTGAATCACAAACTCAACCAGTTGAAGCACAAGAAGATATGCAAATGCCACAAGCGACCACTCCTAAAAAGAAGGGGACAATAGCAGGACCCAGGAGATCAACACCCAGGAAAGCCACTGTTAGTGCCAATGAGAAACGAACACCCAAGAAAGCAACACCCAAGAGGAAGGTAACATATCCTTCAACCTCCAGGAAGAAACTAACACCCAGGAGGGCAACCAAGCTGTCAACCTCCAGTGAAACCCTGCCACAACAAGTATCAACTGCCTCAACCTCTTTAGATGAACTGTCAACCAAGCAGTCAAGTCCATCTAGTGATAGTGACGACTCTCTGGAGGATGAGAATTACAGAATTGATCCAAGGGAGGCATTTGTAGATGATGACTTTGATGAAGATGAACTATTTGGTGAGTTTAGCAATAATGGCAAGGGGGAAAAAAAGAAGAATGTGCAAGAGAAAGAGGATGACGGTGCCTACAGTGAACGTGGAGGGCAATGAGAGTTGGCCTGAACCAAATAATGAACCTAGGGAGGTAGTGAATGTGGAGGGAAATGAGAGTGTGCCTGAACCAAATAATGAACCTAGGGAGGCAGTGAATGTGGAGGGTAATGAGAGTGTGCCTGAACCAGGCCAGGAAGATAGGGAGGCAGTGAATGAGGTTGACGGTGCCCACAATGATGATTCCTTTCAAGATGCTATATGTAGTGAAGATGATGAACTGAATGAGATTAGGCAATGCAATAAGGAGGTTCTAAGTCAAGAGATGGGCAACATTGCTTTAAACTCTGGTGCAGTACTGGGGGAGGGTGTTGATGCAGGTAACTCCATTCAATTTAACGCTGTTAGACCCCCTTCGAGTGGTTAATGCTAGTGTACAAACATCACCTCATGAAGGAGTGCATTCAAGAGCTGACAACACAGTTGATGAACCTGGGCCATCAACCACTGAACCACAGCAACAGTCATGGCCAGATTTTTGTACAAATTATGATAGTGGATATGAATCAGATCCTAGATCAAGTGGTGATGAAGGTCCCATAATGGCAAGTGATGACGATGAAACTCTTGTCCAAAGTTTACAAAAAAAAAGTAGCAAAGCTCAAGTATCCATTTTTTAATGAAGAAGTTGAGATGAAAAATGTTAAATTGATAGTAGGATTAAAGTTCACGTCAAGGGAAATATTAAAGGAAGTAATATTGAATTACTCCATACAAGAACACTATGACATTGTTTATGAAAAAAATGATAAAAGGCAGTTGAATGTGAATTGTGCACTCTATCATTGGCAGCTAAATGTTACACCATGTCGTGATGGTGCTAGTGCTTGGAAAATCAATAGTATGCACCTTTATCATACTTATAGCAGGACATTCAAGAATAGGCTAATCACTGAAGGTTGGCTTGCAGAAAAATTTATTGACAACTTTTTGAGGGATCCTAAGTTCAAGCCCAAAGACATGAAAGCAGAAATGCAAAAACAATATGAGATCATAGTGGATTTAATGAAATGTAGGAGGACAAAGAGTAGGGCTTTGAATGCAGTAGATGGTTTGTTTAAGAAGCAATATGGCGTGTTAAAGCCATACATGAGAGAGCTCTTAAGGAGTAATGATGGAAGTACATGCATTCTGAAGGTCACAAATCAAAGTGACTCGTCAGAATCAGGGGTCTTTCAAAGATTCTACGTGTGCTTTGCAGGTAAAGTTCAAGTGTTTGTTAGAAAATTTTGAAGTTTTATCAAAGCTTGTACGTGCATGTTTTTTAGGCCATACTGAATTCATTCCTGTGTTCTTAGCCATGAAAAGTGGGTTCGCCAACAATTGTAGACCTATATTTGGACTTGATGGATGCTTTCTTAAACATGCATGTGGTGGGCAATTGTTAAGTGCCATGGGGAGAGACGACAATAATTAGATGTGGCCAATTGTGTGGGCTGTTGTGGAGGCTGAAACCAGGAGCTCTTGGGTATGGTTTATGAGAATCTTATCTAGTGATCTCAACATGGGAGAGGAAGAGGGATGGACAGTAATTTCAGACCAACAAAAGGTAAGGATCAATTTCATGTCATATTCAATTTAATCTCTATCTAGGCTACATGTTTACATATCTGGGCATGTTTTTTTGTTTAACTATGGTTTAGTTCCAGCTATACATGAAGTTTGGCCCCAAGTGGAGCATAGGCAATGTGCAAGACACATTTATTCCAATTGGAGGAAAGCACATACTGGAAGAACTCTTCAAAAACAATTTTGGTATTGTGTGAAGGCAACCTCCATGGGGGATTTCCCAGGAGAGGCTGCCAAACTCAAGGATTACTCTCAAAGGGCATACGACGACTTCATGGCAAGAGATCCTCACACCTTTTGTAAGTCTCATTTTAAATGTCATAGCCAATGTAACAGTGTTGACAATAATATGTCTGAAACCTTCAACTCCTTCATCCTTCTTGTAAGATACAAGCCAATAATTTCTATGCTAGAAGACATTAGACTTGCCATGATGGATAGGATGCAGTTAAAAAGGAAGTTGATTACGCAATTTGTGGGGGAGGGTGTTAATGCTAGTGTACCATCTAAAAGTGAGGAAAAAGGGGAGACCAAAGGGAAGCCTGAACAAAATTAGATGTGGTGACATGCCTCCAAGCAATGCTCCAACGCCAACATCCATTATCCTTGGAAGAATAAGCAAAACTCCAACAACCAGCGTTGAGGCAGGAAGAGGTAGAGGAGGGGGAGGGAGAGGAAGAGGAAGAGATAGAGGGAGGGGTGGTCAATTACGGATGCCAGAAGGGTTTGGTTTATGGCAAGGACCACAAGGGGAAATAGCATTTAGAGCTCCTGGTGACAGTCAAGAAAATGTGATACATTTGACACCTAATGCTCCATCCTCACATAGTGCACCCTCTCAGGAATGAGAGTGTAATTAACTGCAGTAGATAACTAGTGTTTTGTATTTGGGACAAAGTTGTTAATGTCTGGTTAATGTATTTTGGGACAAAGTTGTTATTTGGTATTTTGTGTTGAGACGTGTTGATCAGTTCTATGTGGACATGTTCTATTTAGTATTTTGTGTTATGTTATGTGATAAAGTTCTGTAACTTACATGTACTTGGTATTTTGTGTTTTGTTATGTGCTACAGTAGTTTCCAAGCAATGTTCTACCTAATACATTTGGTATATTCTGGATGTTCAATACATTGGCATGTTTAAAGTTTATATGTCTACTTCATGTCAATCCCTTTATTGACATCATTAAACCAGGTCATGTGCAATATGGGTCAAACAAGTACAATTGAATTCATGTCATAAGAACCAGGTCATGTACATTTGATTATACAAGTCATTGCACTAGTTCATGTGCATTCATGCCTGTATATAACAACCAAGGAAGTTTATTTATTCATGCACAATCAACAACACACATTAGGAGTTCAATATACCAATCTGTCAAAATACAATGTTTTATTCACATCACAACCACTTTTACATTACAACCATCTTCACATTACAACATACAGAATTAAACAGAGTGTAAACATTCCTAATAACAAAATAAACTTAATAATCATTTTTTCTTCTGCAATCTTTTCGTGCAATTCTAATCTTTCTTTCATCATTTTTTGCACTTCTTCCAAACAATAATCAGCCTCATGTTGAGACAATTCGACATCCTCTTTAAGCTTGTAAATGTGCTCATTGCATCCTCTTAGCTGATTTTCACACCTTTAAAGTAACTCCTCCTTCAACAGCAACATATTCCTCAAATCTTTGATCTCCTCTCTTAGAAGCGGAAACAATTGACATCCAACACTACACATTGGTTCGTTAATCCATTCCCAAATGCCACAACCACCAGCCTATCATTACTCAAAAATCAAAGGAGACCATGATCAAGTGAGATACGCAAAAAATTACTACTTCCAAGTAAAAACTGCAGTTAATTACTGCAACAAATGAGGAAGTAAATTTAACTTACATGCTGATTGCGGCATTTGTAGAACCTCTGTCCTGGATTATCATCAGTCATAGAAGTAAAATATTCGCACTCCAAACCACAATTACAAACCTTCACCCCAGATTGTTTTGCTAATCGTTCCACTATCGTATAGCTTTTATTCCATTGAACCCTTGTCTACTTCTTTCCATGCTCGTGTTTGACACTGATCTTGAGCGACAACTTGAAGATGATGAATCCATCACTAATTTAACTCCCATTGAACCTAACCCTAGGAGAAGAAGAAGATGGAGTAAGAAAAAGAAGACGGAGTAAGAAGGAGGAAGGGGAAGATGGAAGCCCTAATCGGAGATATTAACCCCCCTTTTGCCAAAATTTATGAATCCCAACTATCGTCACGCTGGAGTCCACGTCAAGGCCACGTAGGAGTCACGTGGGCTGTCACGTGAGAATAATGATCGGAAAATTAACTCCGGCCAAACTTAAGGCCTATATGGCGCCGAAGTCGACAAAATATACCAATATGACAAAACTAAAAGAAAATATACCAACATGTCACTAAGCCTCTACAAAATATACCAATTTGGCCATTTTGCCAACAAAAAATAAGAAAATTGGTATTTTTTTACTTTTCAAAATTTTTCCTATAATTTAAAAAAAAAACAAGGAAATCTATATTTTGTGTGTTTTCCTTTTCCTATAATTTATAGAAATTGAACCAAACACCCCCTCAGTATAAATCACCCAATCAAATAAGTTAAGAAACATATGGGAATAATTATATCAGTACCTAGAAAAACCCTTTTAAGAGGATGAAACCTACTCTGGCTTTAATCTAGTTTCTTCCGCTGTACAGAGTGAAAGAACAGAAGCATGAAGA